TTCTTTTAATTTGGAAGAAAATTTTCCTTTTATCATTCGAAAAAAATTTTTGAAATAATATTAGTTTCATTTATTCTTCAAAATAAAATATCACGCAACATACGCTTTCATTACACATGGCGATTTGAAGTAACGTTTTTTCTTTTTTTAATTTAGTAATATTTTGACGAATTTTAAATCATTTCACCACTGATTTAATACCTTCTTCTATTAAGCTTTCGATACACACGGTGTGCGTGATCCAAAGTAACATATTTTTTCTTTAAAAAAATTGTTATATTCTTATGATTTTTTATTCTTTTTACCGCTGATTTAACATATTCTTCTATTTAGTTTTCACTTCACACGGTGATCTAAGGTAACATAATTAAAAAAATAGAAGAAATAAAATATTCTGCTGACTTTTCATTCATTTTACCGCTGATTTAACATATTCTCATAATTAGCTCTCAACTCACATGTTAATCTAAAGTAGCATAATTAAAAAAAAAATTTTTTTTTGCAATATTTTGATGATTTCTTATTCCTTTTACAACTGATTTAACATATTCTTCAATCTAGTTTTTAATTCACATGGCGATTTGAAGTAACATAATTTTTTAAAAAAAAATTTCTATTTTGATAATTTTTAATTCGTTTTATCGCTGATTTAACATATTCTTCTATTTAGCTCTCAATTCACACGTTAAACTAAAGTAACATAATTTTTCAAAAAAAAAAATGTTTTGCATTATTCTGATAGTTTTTTTATGTTTTTACAGCTTATTTAAAGTTCTTTTATTTAGTTTTAAATAGACATGGCTCTCTGAAGTAACACAATTTTTAACGCAATTTTTAAAAAAACTCTTTTTTTTTTTTAACAAAAAACCTTTTTTAGTAACATCCTGTTGATTGTCAATTAATTTGACCCCTGATTTGACTTGATCTGCACATGGCGAACAGAACTAAATGATTAAAAAAAGAAAAAAAAGAAAGCGGAGATTTTCTATTCATTTTACAACCAGATATCCTCAAATCACTAAAATTTCATTTAATATGTTCGTTTTCTAGAATCTTAATACGCATAGCGATTTAAAGTGACAAAACTAGTAAAGAAAATATATTGCAATATTCTGATGAGTTTTTTTTTATTGCTTTTACCACTGATTTAACATGTTCTTCTATACATATTTAAATAGAGACGGCGCTCTAAATTATCGCAATTTTTAATGAAAAAACTTTCTTTAGTAATTTACTGATGATTGTCAATTAAATCCCTGATTTGACATGATCTGCACATGGTGAACTGAACTAACTTAATGAAAAAAAGCGTAGATTTTCTATTCATTTCACCACCAAATTTCTTAAAATCCCTAAAATCTCCTTTAACATGTTCATCTTTTAAAATCTTAACACACATAGCGATCTAAAGTAACATACATTTTTCAAAAAATTTTTTTGTAATATCCTGGCGGTTTTCATTTCATTTTATTTTAATATGCTCTTCTATTAAGCTCTTAATACACATGACGGTTTGAACGAACATAATTTTTAGTAAAAAATGCTTAGTAACATTATTATGATTTTTCTATTCATTTTACTTACAGAATTTCGCAAAATCACTAAAATTTCACTTAATGTGTTATCCATTCAAATCATAAGACTCCCAGCGATCTAAAGTAACACACATTTCTTATAAACAACAATATTATTTTTAAATATTAGATTGTTAAAAAAGTTCTACAACAATCTTGCAGCTACCCTTGCTGAAAGATCTCGTTTATAGCAATAACGAACCAAAACCCAAAGTTCAATTTCATACAAAGACATCCAGACCTTATTGATGAAAGTTTATTAAACTAAGAACACCAAAAAAACAACAACACAAAATGAAAATTCATAAAAGTTGAAATTTTTGCAAGTGTTGCCGAACTTTTTTAACAACCTAGTATTTATTATATTAATCTCGCAAACGAAGTAAACTGGTATCAATATGATTGATGAATTTTGCGTAGAAATTTTATTTTTAGGCTTTGAACATTGATCCAAATTTTGATTCAAGCATCAAAGAGTTGTGTAGAGGCTATTTGCATGATATAGGCACCTTTTAAATAAATTCTGAAGTATCAAAGCTCATCCGGCTCAAGCTTCGTGTCATAATTTATTGCGTAGGAGTCATTAAGAGCTTTTATCATATGCAGAAATTGATAAATGGCATTAACAAATATCTTGTTGTAGGATTAAATATTAAGCGTTGTTGCAGCGCATATTACTTTAAAACTAAATTTTATTATTATTATTCTCTTAATGGTTGTGAAACAGTTTTAAAAAGAAACCTGGATTGAAAAAGTAATTTTTTCAATGAAGAAAAGCACTATCTTAATGATTATGAAATTCCATTAAAATTAAACATTTGAAGAAAAAGTACCTTTTCGAAATTGAAATTTTTTATTTTTTTATTTTTTTACTGGTTAATCATTGAAGAGCAAGAATAGAAAGTACCCATTCAAAATTAAACATTTTTTCTATAGTTATTATTTTTAGAGTCTTGTTGTTTGTTATTTGATGTAAACCTATTCTTTCTTGATAATTACTCTTTAAAAATATTTTATTAATGTCTAATTGTTCTAAGTTATAAAATGAAAGTTAAAGGACAGGAATTTAACATTCATTTTATAAGCACATTGATTCTTTTTATATATTTTTTAATTTGTGACTTTTGACATGAAATGCTCGCAGGTAAATGTTTTCTTTTTTTTATATTTGTTAATGTTGCTTTGTTTTTGTTTTTGTTTATACGTTCTGGCAATGGAAATAATATTAAATGATTGCAAAAGCTCGTACACAATCTTTTTATTAATATTATTATTACTATTAATATTACAATTATTATTAATTTTATTATTATTACTAATATTATTAATATTACTATTATCACTAAAATAACCCTCTATATTTAACTGACCTTGGAAATTAGCATGAAATACTCGTAGGTAAAAATGTTTTTTTTGTTTTGTTTTGTTTTATTGTTTATTTGTTAACGTTATTTTTGTTTATCTGCTTTGGCAAAGGAAATAATATGGGATTATTGCCAAAGATCGTAAACAATCTTTTTATTAATATTACTATAATTATTAATATTACTCTTAATATTTCTGTTATTGTTAAGATAATCCTCTACATTTAACTGACCTTAAAATTAGCATGAAACACTCGTAGATAAAATTGTTTTTTATTTTTTGTTTGTTTATTTGTTAATGCTGTTTTTGCTTTGTTTTTGGTAATATGCTCTGACTATGGAAATAATAGCAAATGATTGCAAAGCTCGTACACAATCTTATTTTTTAATTACTATTACTATTAATATTACTGTTTTTATTAATATTGCTATTATTATTAATATTACTGCTTTTACTAATATTACTATCATTGTTAATATTACTAGAATTATTAATATTACTATTATTATTAAAATAACCCTCTGTGTTTTACTGACCTTGGAAATTAGCATGAAATATTCGTAGGTAACATAATATTTTTTGTTTTGTTTATTTGTTAATGTTGTTTTTGTTTATCTGCTTTGACTATGAAAACAATATCAAATGATTGCAAAAGCTCGTACTTAATCTCTTATTAATATTGCTATTGTTATTAAGATAACCCTCTGTTAACAGACCTTGGAAATTCAGGTTTTTCATACATTCTATTTTTCGCAAAAAATTCAAAGAATTCATTGCGTGGACAATAAAAAGAAAAGTTCTGGCAGATTTATTTGAAGAAAAACCCCACGTGAAAAGGATTTATTTCAACTAACTAGAAAGCGAGTTGTAACAACTACATGTTTTTAACTCCGTTAATTTAAACATATTTTAACTGAATATTGCTATAACAACTAAGTTTAAAGTTGCCAGGTCCTTTCATATCACCAGTTGAAGTTGGAGCAGTAAATATAGTGAGAATTGTGAAAAAGTATAAAAAATAAATACAACGAGAAAAATTGAATGAGTATGAAAAATAAGAGTCTATTAAGAAAAATTCAAAAAAGGCAACGATAAAAAGAAAAATTACACTATCGTTTGAAAATGAAAAAAGGTGTTTTTAACGAAAAATTTTAGAAATCGTTTTCTAATCTTCGATTTTAAACTTAAGATTTTGGGTGAACTCTGAACTTGAACATACTCCTTTGTGCAATAATTTATTCCAGTAATAGTAGTTTGTGAATTACTTAAAATTTCTTAATTTCTTAACTGATTTCAATCAATTTTACTATAAAAAAAAGATTTTTCGAAACTTTCAGAGGATAATGAATTCTATATTTAAAATGGAATCCCATCAAAATATATTGGAATTTTTCAAACAGAATTTAGTAACTTTTTTTCTCAGATGTCAGTCGCTCGAAATAAACGTCAATTATGAGATTTTCAGTTTTGTTTAGTAGATCATATTATGTTTGTAAACAATAAATTGGATTTATAAAGCAGATTGCACAATAAAAAGAAGGAAATTATTTTACCATATAAAAAAAATTATTTAAACATAGAAATAAATATTTAAACACAAAATAAATGATGCTCAAAATTAAAAACAAATATTTTTCTTTTATAAGCTACTTTTCATTACATGATTGGTATTTTCCTTATAATGAAGCAAATATTTTTCTCAATAAAACTCATATTTTCACGTTAAATGTTATTTTCTCCAATAAATCGGATTTTGTCCTATATAAAATAGTGCATTTGTTTCTTAGAAAATATTTCTGAAATCAACGCCAATTGAATGTTTTTTTTTTATCATTACTAATGAAATGTAATTTGTCAATTCGTTAAAATTAAATGTATTTTCAAGTTTAATTAAATTCTACTATTTAATTTTCTCCATTTTTTTCTGTGAAAAAATATGTTATTTAAACTACCGTTCTAAAACTTAGCATACGTTTTGTAAGAAATTAAACTAAATATTTGGCGCCTTTCGTCAATCTGCCATAATGCCAAATTTTATGCCAATAAGAGAAATTCTCTTACCTGCTGGAAAAGCTCTTCTTCAATGAAAGGATTCACTTGCAACTGCCGAGGATTCTTCGATGAAGGACCGATGATGGGGAGCAGAGGTCAGTATGCCAATGGACCCACAACCTTGAAACGATGTTTTCTGCCGAATTTGTCCTCCTTACCCATTTCCTGCGGAACTTAACCGTCCACTCTTCTTAGCTTTCTTTTGTTCCTTACCATGGGACATAACTTTCTTCTTCGTTATGCTAATTTCGCTAGAACTCGTCTCACTTTTAAATTAGCTTCTTATTTAATTCTTTGTTTTTTGTTATTTAATTCCTTGTTTTTTGTTTGTTACCGCTCAAGTTTCGTCAAAAATCAGGAAACCAGGTTTTTATTTATAATACGAACTGTTTACTCTTTTTGAAATGTTTACTTTTTTAAAATGTTTTTTATTCTTTTTATTTTCTTTGTTTTAAAATTTTTCATTTTTTTAAAACGATATTTTTTTAAAACGATTTATTTAAAATTTTCTCTTTGATTTTTTTAAAACGATTTATTTAAAATTTTCTCCTTTATTTTTTTAAAACGATTTATTTAAAATTTTCTCTTTTATTTTTTTAAAACGATTTATTTAAAATTTTCTCTTTTATTTTTTTAAAACGATATTACAGAAGATTTTTTTAAATGAAGAATAAGTTAGACTGCTGAACTAAAAGTCATTAAGGTTATAAATTTCGCTCCTTTAAAGCAATAAATTTATTATTTTATTTATATATTTTATTTATTTTTTATTTTTTTATATAGTATTTTATTTTTTAAGGCAGTAAATTTTATTAAATATAAGGTAATAAATTTAATAAAATTAAAATTCGAACAGTAAATTTCTCTATTATCTTTAAATATATATCTTGAAAAAAGGCTCATCTCATTAAAATTGACTGCATTGTTATTTTATCTGCGCATGGCGAAGAAGGTTTCTTTTTTTAATTCATTTTTCCATAAATCGTTTTTTAATAGTTGACCTTCTTAATATGTATTAATAGCAATATATTTTTATTATTCTTTTAAATAATATCATCACAGTTCAAAAACTTTCACAAAATTTAGAGCACTGTTTATTCGCTTTGTTATATAGAATAATGGACCCTGGACCGTAATCAAGAGGGTGTTAGATAGGGCACATCAGCACTTAATAGTGTCTTTCGCTCCTCAGATGATTTTCAAATAAATGAACAAAGTTCAATAAATTAAATTAACATTTATTGGAGTTAATATATTATAAATTCTATTTAATATATCAATTCATACTACTATATAATAAATAAATACAGACGATGCGCAAAATATGTAGACAAATTTAAACCAAAAATTTATCAACTAAAATATATATTTTATTTTGTGTTAAAATCGGCGTTGAACAGCCGACCTGATTCTGAGTTAACGACTATCAATGTTCAACTCCGACGCCTTGTAATCTTGAACCACACCCAAAAGGCAAGGGAACTCCTGGATCAAGCATTGGAACAAACCAACCTTCGTGGGGGACTTCTTGATGTAACTGACCAGTATTTGCGTAACACGGAGAGGAAAACCAAGAAAATCACCCGCAGATAGCCCGATGGCAAGGGAATTCTAATCTATGATCTGTCTACAATTGAGGATATTTTACGTCAGCACTGTGGTTGTTGCGAGCCAGGGAGCAGAATTCGTATCAATCAACAGCAGCTGGGATTCGAACCTGGGTCATCTCTTAGGAGGCGAATGCTTTATTCCTGCGCCAGCACTGTTCTAAAAAATATATGATGCCGCTCCTATTTGTGATGGGTTGCCTTCAAAACAAGTGTTCAAGCACCTTAAAACAAATTTTGGCAGATCTGCCAAAATTATTCTCCTTCACTACTATGCTTAAACATATTACTCGGATTAAAAAAATTAAATTATTTTACTAACTATTTTAGGATTGCTTACTACATAAACTTTTTTCCTTTAGAAAATATGAATAGAAAACTATTGTGGTATCTATAGTGGATCCCCACTTCGTTGTAACGAAGATTTATTTAGTATCAGTTTGCCGAATAGCAATGCTATAAAATTTATATTTATTTTAATTGAAAACGTTTGTCTTATATTGGGTCAAACATTAATTTATCATATTATTTTTGTGATTATAGTGCATAAAAATATCAATATTCCGTACATTTTAATAAAAACAAATGTGACCTATTATACCTCGTGTTTATGGAGAAGCTTCGCCGTGCGAGGACTTATAAAATGTTTGTTTTCTGTCATCTAGTATTCTGATCAATCAGTGATCAAAGTTAGTAAAATATACTGAGGGGTGGTCGTTAGTCATCGAAATAATGTCTAGAATGCCCTAATGTCATCAAGAATATTTAAATTAAGGCAACTAATTATGCTCCCATTAGAACAACTACTTTAATGTAAGCATCTTACACTATCAATGTCACGTGTTATGTTTATATGAAATTTACTATAAGCATAGATATTTTGTAGCATTGATTTTATGCATGCGTAAATGTATTTTTTATAACATGCTTAATAGTTAGTAATTTTCGAACTAACTATTGAATTTTAATTTTTTCATTTCTTCGAGCAGTTCTCAAAAAATTAACGAACCATTCTGAATAATTTTTGATTTAATGATTGGACTTTCACGTTCTAGGGCTCAATCTTAATGGTTCGAGAGGGTGACCTCAAATACGATAATTAAATAGCACCGACAATATTTTAAGTTACAAAATCTCCCAAAAAATGTACTTTCTCTGAATAAACATATCGTATTTTCCACGAATTCGGATTTCCGACCTCCAAATATAGGGTGTAGCGCAATGTGTGGAAATATGGTCCCAATAGTTTAGTTAGGAGAGCGATCCAAAGTTTAGACACCTTAATGCTAATTTTACTTTTTGCATGTTTCGTCACATATTGAAAACTTTATAAGTGAATTGAAAAAATATTGCATGTGATTATAAAATTCTTTTATCCAAAGATAATTCCATGCAAAAAATAACTTTTAGTAAATATTTATTATTTTTTTATTTTATTTAATAATAGTAAAAACAATATAGAACTGTAAGGCATGTAATGTTTTATATAATTTTAAAGAATGTAATTTTAATTGGCAAATTACAAAATTTGAATGAAATTGGTCGAATAGTTCCTGAGAAATCGAATTTTAGAAGAGTCGTATATTTAAAATTTGATTTCGCAGGACTTCAGCTTGATCATTACATCAAAAGTTATTTTGGGTGGTCCGTTTAATTTCTGTTTTAGCACTGTACATGTTTCTAAACACATTCATAATTTCATGTTTCTAAATCGTATAGAACAAAGTATAACTTAAAAATGAACATCCAATATAGCGGCAAAGAAGTTTAAAATTTTTTCCCCTTTGAATTTAGAAAATTTATATTTCGAAAAATATCGTAAGTTAATATGCGAATAAATTATAGAATTTTTTAATCAAGAAGAACGTCTTATACTTTCCTCTGATGTTATAAGGCTTAATATAAATAGACATTTTAAATTTTCATAGGAATTTGCCATTATATTTAGGAAAAGCATTACACTTTAATAAAGCTAAATCTGAACAACGACGAGTTTTTTTTCATAAATCGTTACATTAATGTAAACAGAAACGTTTATATTCATATAAATTTTAATCCTATTTATTTATTGCATTTGTACTTTTATATTCGCATGAAATTTTTATATTAATCGAATTTCTAAGTGAAAAAGGAGAACACTTAGAATTTTCAGTTTAAATATAGACAGCCTACCTTTGAAGTTTATTTATGGCACTATTATTTGTTTCTTCTGTTGTTTCTTTTGTTTGTGTTTAGTGAAATTGTATATTCCATATTTCAAGAAGATTAGTTTTTAAGGTTTACATTAAGTTAATGGCATTTTGACTCTTTATTTTAAGTTAAAAGTCTTTTAAAATCAAATAACAGTCAAATTTAACATTTTATTGCTTTCTTATCTTTTATAGTTATTTCTATAAATGTCTCATTAAGGGGAGTTGGTAGGTCTTATACCAATAATGCTAAAACTGGTTTTTTTCGATGTGATAATGTTTTTTCGACTCAGAATCTAAACAAGATATTGTTTCAGTTTTTTTCTCTCCACAGAATATTCACATATACATGTTAACCCTGTGACAACTGTTAATACATATCTATGGGAGAAATTTTTTAAAAAAATTATGAACTTGGGATTTTTTAAAAAATTTCTTCAAAAATCTTTCGTAACTCAAAAATTATTCCTGCTAAACGATAAAACATTATCACAGCATACAACTGATATAATCTCAAGTATCCCCCCAAAGAATTTCAAACCGATATCATAAGTAGTAATTACCGTAAGTATAAGTTCTGAACATTTCAGCTCAGTAGACAGCAGAAGTATTTTATTTTATAACCGTCGTTGAACAGCCGACCCAATTTTTGGGTTAACGGCTACTATTATTCAACGCCGTAGCCTTGTAATTTTGAACCGGATCCAGAAGACAAGGGAACTCCAGGATCGAGTAGTGGGAGAAATTTGCCTTCGTGGAGGACTTTTTAATGGAACTAACCAGCACTCGCGTTACATGGACCACGAGAACCTAACACGGTTATCCTGATGGCAAAGGGACTCTAACCCATGATCCGTGTACCACTGAGGACATTTCGCGTCAACACTGTGGTCGGAGCACGCTGGATGAAGGTTAGTATCGACCAGCCATCGCAGGGATTCGAACCCGGTTCACCTCATTGGAACGAAAACGCCCAATCTCCTTAGCCATCGCGGCTCTGAAGAAGTATTAAAATTATTTGCATCTCTGTCGTTAGATAAGATAGGAAACTCAATCTAATGCTCCATTAATGCTACGTCCTCACGCCTCTCTTGAGCCATAACTTGTGTATCGTATAATGCTATTGCTCGAAAAAGTCGAGCTTTGTCACCAGTAATTGGTATGACAGTATGCGGCATCATTTCGACTGCCATTTTAGAAGGGATCAAAAACAAATCTAAATAATGACTTCGAAGCTAAGTTTTTATTTCTATAAAAATGCAAAATTATTCCAAATAAATGCTCAATGTTTAACTTATTATGTAACATGACTTAAATTATTACTTAAGATAACCTAACAATATGATTCTAATCAAATGCTTATTGTAAGACTAATTATTCAACAGTATTTAAATTATTACTTAAGATAACCT